TGTGCCTATGAACCTTCCTTTTGTTTCCAAAATCATTAATGCTGTTGGGGCCGTGAGGATACCGTACACCTGTCCCTTGGTGAGGGCAAATAAATGCACCAAGAGAGCCATGAAGTTTGAGGCTGTGGCCATAAGAGTACCTCTTTCATTCTCTGAATCGGATGACTCACTTAATGCTTGTGTGATGAGCTATGCAGTGATGGTTCTGGTTCTCCCTCCAGATAATATCAGGAAGTTCCGTAAGTATGAACTGGAACTTCTGGGAGCTGTTGTAAAACAGGTTGGTGATTATCTATGCTTCTCTTTTGTTTTGTGCTCGTTATCTTTTACTGTGAGTAGTAAGTAAAATTTTGCAGTAGACAGCCTAGTTTCATAAGCAGTTTGTTGGTTCCAATTCTTTCAAATATCCATTCACTGATTCTTATTATAAACCCATGGTACTGCAAGTCTTCACACATGTGAGATTGTATTTGGTCATGCTTTCATAAGTTCTACTCTAAGTGGTTATCTATCTTATATTTGGGATCTATACAGAAACATGGTATTTTTGCAAGTTTTTCAGTGGTAATTGTTCTTTTACTTTGTAGAACTAGTTTTCCCTCTTCTGCAAACCCTTGTTAGGCTGAGGCATGATACACCTAATACTTAGTTCTATTAAAATGAATTTTTTAAATAATGTGTTTATTATATGGTCAATATCGTTTCTTTCAACTCGTTATGTCTTTATTATTTCCGTGCTTTGTTTCATGCACTGTCAGCATTTCAATTGCCTACCCTGTGAGAAGACTGGTGAATGGGAAGTATATTGGTAATTAGACTTCTAAAAGACTCATTAGATACTATACGTGTGTCAGTTTATGTAATGATATTTTACCAGTAATAATTTTTAAGTCTAACCACTTTTTTGGTATGGTGATTCATTGTCAAACAAAATCATTGAACCGTATCCATTACCTACTGTTACCAGTCTTACCACCCATTTGTTACTCTTTTTCAAACCCTATTGTAACAAAATGGTTACATTTCGTAATCCTTAATTTGATACAAAGGGACTTAGCTATATGAAACAACTAGTATGGTAACAGCCAACAATCTTAACATTATCCTTTCCCCTCTTGTATGTTTCATTCCTTACCATGTTTTCATTTCCCGAATTTTATACCAAACATGTGCTTAAACACAGTCCAGAGTCTCTCTTGCTAGCTCACTAACACAATATACAGCCAACAATATTTGACTCTTTAAGTAGTAATAGCTACCCACCCTGTCAGGCTACCACGTTCTATGTTTTCTATCTCCATCAAACAGTTCACGTTCCAGGCATCATGGCTTGTATGCTTACTGAATTTTGATCATTCTTGTGGATCCAGAAAGCTGAAATTTGATCATAGGATTCCAATTTCTTGTGCTGTCTCAGGTATCAGTTGCACTTGGTCATGCTTCAACTATCGAAGATTCATTTATGGCAAGGTATCATCTTAAGGAGCAACTTTCTTGTAAGGAGGTGGGTTTATGGGGCATCATGAAAGCTCTCCACAATCCTGATGATTATAAGACTGAAAATTTCAATCCAATGGAAATACCTCTGTGTGATGTGTCATCTTTTCTTCAAGATAATACATCTGTCATCTTTTCTGTGGAAACACTGTTACAAAATGAGAAAGATGGTATGCTTGTTTTGAATATTAGGGCTTTCCACCTTTCGGAGGTCATAAAGCAGGTGTTCTATTAAAGCTGTGCATTTTGGATTTCAAGTTTACTGAATATCTACACCAGTGAAATGTAATGCAATTTTTTTTTGTCTCAGGTTTTTAACGTCATAAAGGTTGCAGCAGAAGTGAAAAAATTATCACTCTCTCTTGTTTTAGCCCCTGATTTGCCTGTCAAAGCTTTGGGGGACATAGAAAGGCTAATGCAAGTTATTCTGATTGTAATGGGTAATGCTGTGAAATTCACTAAGGAGGGTCATATATTAGTAAAAGCATCTGTGGTAAAACCCAACCCTCGTAGAGCCTGGCGGCCTTCTAAATTCCTTTTGGTATCAAGTGACACTCATTTTTACTTGAAAGTGCAGGTATTTATTTTTACTAGTCATGGATATGTGACATGGCATGTGTTGAGTTTACGTCTTGTTTGTCTAGTCTTTTTTCTTTTTAGAAGCAGCTTTTATTATAGGAAGGTACATTATTTGCAAATCTTGAACTCAGTCTAGAAACTTGAAAGGTCTTTTACATATCTAACTTATTAAGTGAAGGCTGAAGGACTTGAATATTCTATGCTAATATTGTATTTACACAAAGTTAGAAACATTCTTAGTCCTATGCTAACATATTTAAGCTGCAGGTTGAAGATTCTGGTTGTGGGATCGACCCAAAAGATATACCAAGCCTGTTTGATCTTCCAAACACTTCTAATCGACATTCTAGTGTCTTACATGGGCTTCCCATTTGCAAATGGTACCATCTTTAAACTTTAATTTTTCTGCCATGACTTTTTTTGGGTTTAATTAAAGGCACCTTGATGAGAGTTGCTGGGAGATTACATATTTACATGTCGCCATACTCATCGTTGTCATATGCTTCGTCTGATTCAAAATAATTACTTGTACAACATTTTGACTTTTGTATTCATATACAAACTTCAAAAACTTGTGTACACATCCGGTTTACACTAATATTAGTGTACATCGAGCAGTATAGAGGTAACTTTAAGCCAATTTAGGGTAACTTTTTGTCTTTTTTGGGGTAACTTTAATGTATGATTTTTTTTTATAAATCGAACAAGAAAAGTTTTATAAGGGTGATAAAATTACTTTCAATCACTAATAATTGAATTTTAGTCATTTAAAATGTGATTCTTTACCAATAAAAGGTAGATTATTTTTATTTGTATTGGGTTATTTTTATACATATTAGGGTAACTTTTATTCATTTTAGGGGTAACTTTTGATCACTTTAAGAGAGATTTAAAATGGATGTACAATAATTATTGTACACCCCGATTTTTTTTAAAAGTTTGTGTACAAACTTATTCCAGTATACCACTCATTTTAAAAGTTATCAATTAAAATCTTGAATTAGTATGAACTCATTATAACTTATTGCTAATAGATTATAAACAATATTAGTCATTAAAGTTGTATGTTGGCAAACATGTTAGTCAAAGTGTTGCAATTTCTAAAATTGGAGGAACGACCTCTTAAACTCTTAAAATCTTTTCTAACATAAAACTATTGCTATGGTTATGGATTCAGGTTAGTCGATGCCATGGGTGGTGAGATATGGGTTGAGAGTGATGGTTTAGGCAAAGGTTGCACGGCTACTATCATCGTGGCACTTGGAGTGTTTGATTCAGATTGATCATGCATGATCTTGGTCAAGAAGGCTGACAAAATGCTTAGAAACAGTCATATTGGTCACGAAGGTTTAAGAACGTGATTAAGTGCTTACAAATACTACAAATAAATGGCTGGATGGCCATTTTACAGCTTTAAATTATTCAGTGTTCAGATTTTTATCAAACCACATTATTTGTGGAATATTATTATAAATAAATGATTGAAACTCATCAATCCTTGGATTTTTGTTTTTCTTGATTTATTTTTTTATTTTTAATAACCACAATGTTTTTAAAGGTTTGAATGTGAGAAACTACTATCAAGGCAGCAATAAATGATCAAAATTTGGAAAGATGGAACAAACAACAGATGATGATTTTTGATGACGCCTTGCCTAATAAAAACGAGTTTAATCCACGTAAATTTAGCTGCAACTTTTTTCATATTTTTCTAAATTATAAAAAAATAATCATCTACTCCGTACCACCTTGATTCTTTTGGCATTATATTCAAATACATTCCATTTACCCTACATTTTTCCCACTTACCTCTACAACTCACCCTTGGAAACTCCTCTTTAACCAACTAACTACAGCCATCACTTTGATCGTGTTTGATTGTTTCATTTCACCACACATGGCCATACCAACAACACCGCCTTTTTCAATCCACCATAGGCACGGCCTCCACCCCATTTGACCTCTTGAAATCACCCTCCCAACACTTATCCCAACATTTTTTGCTATAAGCCCATCCACCCAAGGAAAGGAGTGTTATTGTCCTTGATGGTGTTTGGTGCAAGTGAAAAAACGCCCTTCTTCCTAAATTTTCCCTAGTCTCCTTCCTCACTACCACACGTCCTCTACTACAACTATCGTCCGTCTCTGCAAACCACCACTGTTACCATCTATCATACATCCAGCAAGATGCTACATCATCGACATCAAAATCCACCACCACCAACACTCGTCATCACATCCAAAACCATTGCGATAAGGCTTACATGGTCAAATTCATCCATAACGGCTCCACAGTTACCACTTGGAGATCGGGTAATTATGGGTTTTTTGATGTGACATCTTACCGCCTACAATGATGGTAATTGGGTTGAGATAATGAAGCTAATCGTTACGAGATCTATTAAGGTTATGATGACTGGAGTGGTGACTAACAACTAGAAGTGTTGGCTTGTACATCTGGTAGCAGCCCCGGTTGTCAAGGTTTACGGCAAGGATGAACACCATGGCGGTAGTCAATATTGGTTCAAGGGTTTAGAGACCAGAGTAGGGTAAACACCATGGCAGTAGTCTATGACTTTTTAGTTACATTTGTCTTTCTGAATTACCACCACCAAACATCCCCTATTACTTTACATCACTTTTAATAATTTCAGAAATTATTGTAAACATCACTTTTAATAATTTCAGAAATTATTGTAATATGCCTTCTCAGTAAAAAAAACAGATGTAAATATTATAGAAGACCTACTCTAAAGTTAAAATTCTACAACTACACAGCAAGCCATAATCATAGATCTGCAGTTTACTTTCATCACAGGATTTAGCTTTGACAAAAGTATTGCTTGTATAGTCGCACTATATTTTGCATAGGGTATAGTTACAGCCATATGGATTTCCCTGAGATTTACCAGTTACTACGTATATAGCAATAGAAACGACGCTCCAAATCATATACCCTGAACAGCTGATAACATGAAACCAATTTAAGATGTGAAAAGAAAGTAATACATTTCAACCTGAGTATCAGGATTATCAAGCAACTCTATCTCAGTCATAACATAACAAGATCCACAAAACATATTAGCTGCAAAAAAAGATACTATGCTAACAAAATAACAAGGTCCACAGACCACCCTAAGTTTCCTCATCAGGTCTTGAAACTATCACTTCACTTCTTTGCTTTCTTGGCCCTGTAAAACATTAGGTCTCGAGTTAGATAATCTAACATAAATTGGAAACAAATTGTTAGTACAATTACAGAAACTCTTGAAAACATATTGCAACAATCAACTTACTGTGTTGGCTTAGGAGCAGCTGCTGGAGCGGCAGCAGCTTCAGGTTGTTTGGGTGCTTCAGCATTTGGTCCCTGAAAAAACGAACACCATAAATTATAAACTAGCAAGAAATCTCAAATAAGTTGCATAAAATTCTTATCAGATATAAGAGTGTATTTTGCATATGAATTTACCAGAGCCAAACGCTCCTCTCTTCGGGCCAACTTCCTCTCCCTGCTAGCCTTGTTCTTGGCACGCTTAGCCTCAAATTGGTCAGACAAGGTCTTGTCTCTTGCCTTCTCAGCCTTGGTCTTGTGGATGCTTTCCATCAATACACGCTTGTTTTTGAACACATTACCCTTCACCTTCATGTACATGTCATGGTACATGTGCTTGTCAATTTTCTTTGACTCTCGGTACTTACGGAGCAACCTCCTGAGAACTCTCAACCTCCTCATCCACAAAATCTTGGTTGGAAGCCTTGCCTCCCTGGTACCCTTACGCTTACCTAAAATGAACCAAAATCACGCTTAACATCACATAGTTAAATAGTATCATCACCTTTAGCTCAATTATCAACTAAATGGTTCTCATTCTTTCAAATGCCAACAGGGCAGACACACTTGACCGATAAGATCACAAGATATGTCGAATGCTTCTCAAGTGATCACGGTTTCACTTCTGATTCCTGTAACTAATCTACTTATTGAGAGGAACTTTAATACTCATTATACACACCAACAAACTTTAACAGCAGAAAATTTGACAAAAACACTATCCAGGTTGATGATATGCATACCGTGTCCTGAGTGACGACCCTTCCTCTTTGCCTCCATCATACGACGAGCACGAGACCTTGAATGAATCTTGGTAGGCTTCCTGATAATGAAACCATCCTTAACCAACTTTCTGATGTTTTGACCTGAACAAATCAATCAAACATAAATACCTATTCAGCCACATCTAACAACAAACAAAACCATATAAAAAAATCAAACAGCAAAAAATCTTCAATTGCATAATAAAAGCCATATCAATGCCAATTAATTTCGCAAAATAATTACTAGCATAGAGCAGTATAAATTGCATAATAAGACATATATAACTTCAATTGATAAAACTAGATACCTCCTTCAAACTAAAAACCAATTTACGCAGAAAATTCGTCATTTGCAAAGCTCATATGTTCAAATTTCAAGTTCTAGATTAGAAACTGTAACAATTAAGCACTAACAAAATCGATCAATAAATTTAATAAAGTAATTATAATCTCATCATAAAACTTCCTACAATTCGATCGAAGATACATCAAAAGATCACCATTTTCCAGAAAAAATCACATAAAAAGCGCTAAATATAACCATTGCAACAATTTCTAGGGTTCTAATTCAGATAATCATCAAAAAATTACAAAATCTAACAATCGATTGAAAAAAACACAATTAAAAAAGAGATTGAAAAGAAAAAACGAAAAGCAATCGAAATCAAAGGATAAAGAGAGAGAAGGAACGTACGAGAGTTAGCCATGGAAATTTCATTGCCTTCATTAGGATCAAGCCAAACCTTGCCACGACCGCACTTGAGGATATCAGCGGCGAGCCGCTTTTGAAGCTTCAAAGACACCATTGTTGTTGCTGCGAGTTTCTCTCTCCTCTCACTCTCTCTGTGGTGGGAGCTGCTAGAAGATGGGAAATGGAGGAAGTGGAGGCTTAAATATCACCAGTTTTTAGAGCTAGGGTTTGGGGATTAGGGGTTTACCCATTTTCTTTATTTATTGGGTTTTTGGGTTGGGCTTTTTTTTTATGGCTTTGTTTAAATATTGATTGGATTGATTCGTTCAGTTTTTTTTCATTAGAGGTCCTATGGTTTCTAAAATATGGGGTCCAATTCTTGTAATATCTACCTCATGTATTTAGGGTCAACTTTTATCTCTACTAGGGGAGCCTAAGCATAATCGATGTTTATGGTCGAGTTGTAATAGCTTGTCATAACACACTAAATTTATTGGGTAGGCTTTTGAACGCATATACATGAAATAAATTGTTGATAATCATACCCTTGCATAGGTACAAAAATGTAACACTTGAAAATATATAAACACTATTCACTTTTTAGTTGTAAGTTTTTTATGGTGTAATATGACTTTTGTTGTGAGTTATAAAATACAATTATATATCATCCGTCACTTTTAGTTGCAACACTTGAAAATATATGCATTTTTCATTTTTTTTTTAATAATTGATCTTTATTTTTATTGACTTTTTTTGTTGCACAAAATAGTCATGTGGGATCGTATTAGATTCAACATTTCGATTTATATATGTGTTTTCAATATTTAATCTTTAGATTATTTATATGTCTATAATTAGAGATACAAGAGATTGAAATTATGTATTGACAAGCGTGAAAGTTAAAATGTTACAACTAAAAATTTAACGAAAAAACATTCAAAAGAAAAATGTCTAATTAGATGATTAGGTAATTAAATTCAGTGGGTTTGTGTGTGTGTGTGTGTGTTTGTTTTAAAGAAAATAGTAACAAAGTGGGTTATATCCGGACTATTTCCCCACCCTTTGAAGAGGATTATTTTCACATTAAATAGTTTTGCCATTAAATTCAACAATTTTCTCCTCCTCCTTCTCCTTTTCCTCTTCCTCTTCTTCATGTGGCTTAACTCGGTAGGTGCTTTAATGGAGGGATCATTTGCTTTAATGAAGGAGAGAAAGAGAGTAGGGAAGTACATGAGGAAGGAGAGAGAAAGGGGGGTTTAAAAGAGAGGAAAATGTTGAAAGTTGGAAGGGAAGAAAGACTAAAGAAACATAGAGAAATAAATACGGAAGCATAAGAGTTAATATGACATAAAAGGGTATATGGGTAAATAAGCAATTTTAAGGGTAAAAAAGTCATCACACTATTCATAAGAGTTCTTTTGTACTTTTTATAAGGTAGGGATTTCATGAGTCAATTTTTTAAGAGATTTGGGTTCTTAACAAATGGTCTCTCTAGTCCTCTACCCTTTTTAAAAAGTACCAATTTGACCGGCATAAAGTTTTAGGTGGGTGAGTTAAATAGAAAAGTAGAAATAGGAACCACGAGCCTGTTCTGATTTACTGAATTGAGCTTAACTTAATTGAACTGAACTGAGCCGAGCTGAACTGAACTGAACTGAACTGAACTGAACTGGACTGAATATTTTATGAGAGAAGGAAATTAGGAACTGAATTGAACTGAAAATAAGCTGAAGAGAACAGGTCCCACGTGATGAGATGGATACCATTAAAAAAAAATTAAAACAAGATGTTCAAAAAAGAAGTGATGAAGGACTTATAACACCATGACAACATTCCCCTATACTAGTTGCCTAGTGCAGCTTCCCCCCTCCCAACAGTTAAATATACTAGACAATTTTTTTTTTCAAAACAAAAAAAACAAATAATACAATTAGCTAGTCAAGAGATATACAAAGTATAATGAACAAGTTAATAAAATCTACAATCTACTCTAAGGCAATTAGTTTATAATAACTATTTATTCGATAATTACAAAACAACTATTAAAATCAGATATTCAAAACATCTAATAATGCAACTAGTTTGTAAAATCGGCTAATACTAGGGGTGAGCATAACAGGATACCCTGAAAAATTCCAGGAACCGGAACCGGAACCTGTTGCAACAGGTTCCTCAAAATGAGAACCGGAACCGGAACCTGTTGAACAGGTTCCTGGAAATTGGGAACCGGACCGGTTCCGATTCAGGGTACCCTGTATTAATATATATATTTTTATAATTGTAATTTTGATATTTATTATTTAAAAATTAAGTAAGAATTAGTGTATAATTTGAAATTAAGTGATACTTTTATCAGGTACAGGGTACCCTACAGGTTCCAATTCCAAAAAATTGAGAACCTGAACCAGAACCTATTACAACAGGTTCTCCAGTTTGCTACCCGGAACCGGAACCTCTTGTACAGGTTATGGTTCTGGAACCTGCGGTTCCTAACAGGTTTCGGTTCCGATTCAAGATACCCTGATTTTTTGCTCACCCCTAGCTAATACAACCCGCAACACTTAATATAACGAGTTATTTACTAATTACAAAATAGGGTATTTGAGATATGATCATATGTGGTCAATGAGGGTACGTAGGATAATGACGGGAGACTGGTAAGTGAAGTAAGTGTAAAACAAATATATTTTTTTACCCGATACGAGTTGGGAATATGATTAGGATCAAAGTAAATTAAAGTAAGGGGCCGTTTGGTTGGGGGTATTCAACAAAGGGAATGAGAATCAACTACCATGAATCCCTTTGTTGATGTTTGATTGACAAAATCAATCATTCCCTTTACCCCTCCCATTACCCCATTTTCCTCTATCTTCATTCCCCACCCCCTCAAGGGAATCACCCAAACCCCCAAATTCTTCTTCAGCCAACTACCTTGACCAAATTTCTAACTACCTTGACCACCCTTGAGAACACCAACTGACCATCGACACCACCGCTCAACCACCAAAAACATTGCCCAGACATCAACACCACCTCCCAACCGCCACCAGAAGCACCGCCTAGCCATCGGAAACATCGCCCAAACACTCACCACCGCACGACCACCATCCTTCCCCACCGAAACCACCCAAAACCACCAAAGAAAAAAACCCACCCGCACCCAAAACCACCCTTGCCTACCAAAACCACCCAAAACCCTCCCGGAAAAATACCCACCCTCCTCGAATCCACCCAAACCCACCCGAAAATAACCTTAAACCCATCACGTTAGCCGCCTATTACCCTAAAAACCACCATGAAAACCACCAAAAAAACCCTAACCATCTCAATAAACAACCCAAACCACCCCATAAACAACCTCAAACACCCAAATAAACAACCCTTTACACCCTAAAAACTAACAAACTACCAGATCTACGAAAAAAATTAAAAGAAAAAAAAAGAGAGAAGGATGGCATGGGTCCGTACGGAGGGTCGGCGGCCGGTGGGTGTCGGAGTCGGGCGATGCAACAGTAGAGGATGGAGGGGTGGCAGTGTTGGAGGCTTGAGGACTAACAATTGCAATGGTGTGGTGGAGAACAGTGGTGGTGGTGGTGGAGAATGCTGGTGCTTCATATTCGATTCCCATTCTTTTTTAATAAAACAAACAACACATTATAAATGGGGGGTTTGCTTTCCTTTCTCTCTCATTCCCTTTCCTAATGTGTTTCCCTTTCCCTTCTACCAACCAAACGACCCCTAAATATACTCCAACCCTCTCCTATCTTACTTTTTCATTAATATGTAAGTGTGTTTTTGTATTTTTATTTCTAACGAAGTAAATATTTTTTTGACATCACAACCATGTCAAAGATCAAAATTTAAAAGAATAATGAAAAGGAAGCAGGTCAACTTTGTTTAATTATCGAATTGGGCATGGTTAATTATTAATACTAATTGTTAAGTATCAATGCAAAGTCAAATTGATTTTAGGCAAATTCAGTATCAGTCACTCAAGTCTAGTTAATTTTTAATTATTGCTTTGCATCATTTTAAAGTTTATAATGAGTCATAAATTTCAAGTCAAAGCTAATCAGATTTCAGGTGAATTAATTTTATCAAATTAACTTTCAAATAATTCTCTGCATTTTCTCTCAAAACCAACAATTAGTGGATCAGAGTACTCGGTTAGTCCATCATAATTAAACTAATAATATCAATAATATATTCCATATGTAATACTTATACAAACTTAATACATAATTATTTTTGATAAACTACAAACATTATACTATATTCATACCATAATCAAAGGTATGGTTACACTACGTTTGCCATCAGTCCAAGTGACTGAACTAGAAGTTTGTTCATTTAGCGTGATTCCTTGATCTTTCACTGCCGAAATTGTAACAGAAAAACTTTGCTTATCCCAAATCTTCTTGAAACTTAATTCAGGAGGATTAACAGTCACATTAAATCCTGCAGGACTCGAAACTTTCGCGGTATACGTTGATGCAGTAGCGTTCACACTTGTTAAAGTCCTGTTAAACACTTTACCTTCAACATCAGATGGCACAACCAAGGCAGGGTAGTTCAAGTCCCACTCCTTAACCATCGATTTTTCATCGCAGATAATTGATTTTTTCACAATGATCTTCATTTCAGTCGCATTGTACCCTGAAGCACATAGATTTTGAATGAAATCATCCTCACTGATATCATACACTAGCCCGGGATCATTCGCCTTTTCGGGGTTCACATGTCCTGCACCAGTAGCCCAATAAGAAGACGCCTGATCTTGATTTTGAGCCATCTTGCTCATCTCATGGTAACCAATATACGCCGTGGTCATCAAGGCGGACTTGATCATAGCCGGGTTCCAATCAGGGTGAGCACTCTTGAGCAAGGCGGCTAAACCCGAGACATGAGGGCAAGACATAGACGTGCCTGACGCGATATTATACTGAGTAACCCTTTGGTCCTCTTCCAACCTAGAAGGCGGTACGCCTTCAGGCCAGGCAGCCAGTATATCAACCCCTGGCGCGATCACGTCAGGCTTTAGTACATACTTAGACACATTATTTGGTCCTCGAGACGAAAACGAGGCAACCACCGGAGCCGGTTTTTCGCCTATTTGTGTCCCTCGACACACAATGGTCCCTTCTTTCACCTTCTTCTTACTGATATCATCCAAAAGTTTTGTAGTTGCTCCAATAGGTATGGTTAATCCGGGTATCGTATACGGGTCGCTTTTTTGTGTATCGTTTTCGCCTAATGTAGGATCATTTAGAGCTACAATAACTCCCACTCCACCAGCTTTACCCACAACCACCCCTTTCTCAACTTTGTTGATTAGCCCTGGTGAGCAAATTACGATTTTACCCTTTACGTCAACACTGTCTAATGACCCCGGCATACATTGTTCCATAGAATAATCAGATGTAAAATGTACCAAAGGGTATGTTTTATTCTTTGGTAGTGGATCCCCTGTGTAGAGAGAGCTGCCTGAAAGAACATCACCATTGTCAAGGATGACATCAGCAGGGAATGTTCTATCGATGGTGCTAGCCCCGACGGAGATGTACCACGGGGCGGAAGCCGAAATTTGTCCAGGTAAAGGTCCACTATTTCCAGCTGCAACTGAGACAAACACCCCCTTTTGAAATGCACCAAATGCGCCTATTGCAATAGGGTCTGTGGTGTAATCACGTGACGCGACGGGGCCTAAGGAGAGGGAGATGACATCCACGTCGTCCTCCACGGCTTTATCCATGGCAGCTAGTACGTCCGACCCAGTGCACCCGAACGTCCAACACGTCTTGTAGATGGATAGCCTTGCCATGGGAGCTATCCCCGTGGCTTGGCCTTCTGCGTACCCAATGAAGGAGACATTTTTGGAACTCGTACGGCCTGCAATTGTGGAGGCCGTATGAGTCCCATGCCCAAAATCGTCTCGAGCTGATAAAGGATCGCCTTTACGTGCTGCACTATTGAAATATCGTACGCCAACAAGTTTTTTGTTACATAGGGAAGATGGGAAGTCCACCCCTCCATCACATACACCCTTGAAGCGATCTGGTACCTTGTCCATCCCTTTGTCGTCAAAGCTCGGGTGCTCGGGCTTGATACCCGTGTCAATGACTCCAACCACGACGTTAGACCCCAAGTTGGAGTCCTTTAGCAACCCTAGCGGGGTATGGTACGAGTCAAGGCCAAGGAAGTGAGGTGATCTTGTTATTTGAGGTTGGTAGACTATGTCTGGAATGATAGAAATGACTTCAACTTGAGCTCTTAATGAGTCGGCATGCTCGGCCCTAAGCCGGGCCGAGAAGCCATGGAAAACGGTGTTGTAAACATGAAGCAAGGAATCACTGGGATTAGAATTGATTCTACTAAGAATGGACTTGTACCAATCCTCAACATTGGAAAATGTATTGGGTTTTAAGTTGTTTTGGATACTAATAATGTAAATTTGTTTATCTTGGTTACTACTATGAAGATTATGGTTTTGTACTGCCGAGGTGTAACGTAAGGAAAGAAAGAGTGTAAGAAAGATAATTGAAAAAATGTGAGACATTGTAAAATTTTGGGTTTGAGAGGATAAGATCATATGTGATGTTTTCATGCATTTATATACTACTACGAAGAGTTTAAGAAAATTAATCAACGTCAATAGAATTAATTTAAAGTTAATTAAAATTAGAGTGTGTAATGACTCCACCACATTTCCGCATGAGAATATGGGAGGATTTTACAAGCTAGTTACATAAAAGGAAATCCTTGCTTGATTAAAAAAGGCAATTATTGTTCCATTGATATTTGAAGGTAGATGAATAATGTGAATATTTTATACATTATGATCATATTTGAATAGAATTAATGGGTTGATGCGCAAAATGTATTATCAATTGGTTTTACTGGGTATCGTGTCATGGGATAGTAGTTTGTGAGTGCAAATAATGGCTCAATTTACTTAAATTGTGGAATTGAGACAAATAGTTGCACAATGATCAGATGGCATCATTACATAAATGTTGAATGGAGTTTGTTGTAGTTGTTAATTTTGTGGAATGACAAACAGCACTCTTACCATGTTTGTTGCACGAAGAACTAGTATCTTAAGATTCTTTACCACCTTCTTCTTCACGTTTCTCCACTAGTGACTAGTCCACTTCCCCTGCTATGCTTTCTCTATTGCAATTGTTTACTTGAGAAAGTAACTACGAAGTATTTTTTTATTTTATTTTTTTAAACAATAAAATACGGGAGAGGGCCTCCCCACCTTATTATATGAATAGGGGGCTGTGAGGAGTCGAACCCCCATCAAGAATCATCTCTCCATCTCCTCACTCCTCAACTACGAAGTATATAGAAGTAGCTGCAAAGCTACATCAACAATCAATGTGAAAAAAAAAAAAAACTTTATACGAGTAATTACAATGGATTATTTAAAAGACTCGTAAAAAAATTACTAGTTTTGTTGGTGTGGATGATGTATTAGGGAAGGAACCTACATTATCACACATGTTAAGTAGGTTTGTAAACAAGTTTTCATCATATTAGATCGACCGGGAAAAAAAAGTTTGATAGAATCAAAATAAATTAAAGGTGAATAATCTTTCACAATGAGAAGTTAGGGCAATCCGGCAATGCGATACTTTCGAACAAATTAGTATAATATGTTAGACTTGTATATATAATTGATTCATATATGTAGGTTCACCTGCATTTGACTGATCCTAATAAATATTATTGTCAAAACTATAGTTGGATATGGGCCAAAGGCCCAAAGCAGCATAAGGGTCAGTCATACATGCCATGAAAATGGTCTAATTGGGGCACAAGCTAGCTAGCTTAGCAAGGCATGAGGAGCACTTCAGTGAGCCATATCATGAACCTTACATGTACATAATCTTTAGGGGCCGTTTGGTTCGCAAAGGGGAAAGATAATGATTAAAAGAAAGGGAAATAGTGGGAATGGAAAGCAATTCCCTCATTTATTATAGGTTTTTTTGTTTACTTCAAAAGAATGGAATGAAATTTGAAAATAATTGCACAGCCAACAAGGGCAACAACCAACTCCGATCCCACCTCCGACCCCCTGCGGTGCAGAGCTCGCCCACGGCCCCACCCCCCTTCATTGGCCCCCAACCTCTCTTCCGGCGACGCTACTCCCCTTTCCCTGCAACACCGCCACCCCTCCCTCATCTACCGCCAGTCCGCCACACCAACTCCATGGGTAAAGGTGGATTTCATCCCTCTCTCTTTTTATAGGTAATATTTTGGTAGATCTAGAAGGTTGTATGTTTTTAGAGTGTTATGTGTTGTTTTTTTGGGTAATTGGAGGTTGTTTATGGGGTGGTTATGGTTTCTTATTGAGATGGTTAGGGTTTTTTGGTGGTTTTTGTGGTGGTTTTGTGGTGGGTGTGATGATTTTCGTGGGTAATTGGTAGTGAATGTGGTGGTTGAGGGTTTTTCGAGTGAAGTTGGGTAGTTTGGGGGAAGATTGTATTTTTTCCGATGGATTTGGGTAGTTTCGGTGGTGGCTGGGTGGTGGCGTCAACACGCCGACGGTTTTTTGGCGTCTGAGCGGTGATTTTGTAGGCGTATGGGGCGGTAGTTTCGGTGGTTAGGTGATAGTTGCGGTGGTTGGGCGGTGGTGTTGGTGGTCGGTTGGTGTTTTCAAGGGTGGTCAAGGTAGTTAGAAAGTTGGTCAAGGTAGTTGGCTGAAGAGGATTTTGGGGGTTTGAGTGATACTCTTGGGGGGGGGGGGGAGGGGAATGAGAGTAGAGGAAAATGGGGTAATGAGAGGGGTAAAGGGAATGATTGATTTTGTCTATCAAACATCAACAAAGGGATTCATGGTAGTTGATTCCCTTTCCCTTTGTTGAATACCCCCAACCAAACGGCTTAGTAATTTTGACACAAGCATAATAAGTTGACTCTGCTTGATTTAATATTGTGTCGAACCGTGTCATACATGTGAGCTCCCTTAAAAAAAATATGTATATAAAGCGAGCCTACATGCATGCGTGCACGGTTTGACATGTGTGGACTGTACTACGTATAAACTCCATTTATTATAAAATATCGACACGAACCTAGCACATCACAACATTTTTTTGATTTGTTTTAGGTACAATTTGCTTGAACCTAACACAAAAATCTTATAACATGCATGGTCCATAGGCTTGCACAAGCACAACCCTACGGCCTCATCCAACTTTCAACCAAAACTTCTCCGAATACACAAATAACACATAGTCCATGCATGCTACTATGCTAGTGCTACACTTTGATTACTCGGAAATAATAATTTCATTAATCTATTCATCTTTGTTCTAGAACAAGGAGTCAAGGATTGAAGGTCAAAATGTAAACGATTGACTGTTTCTTAATTAAATTTGCCAATCAAAATGATTGACTTATTACTTTGTAGTAATATTGAACAAATTAAAGTTGAAAACAACAGTCAGAGGCTTATAGCACAAGCTAGAACTGTGAGTCTGTGAGCGCCCACAAAGACGTAATTCCAAAACTATGAGCGCACCTGGGAACAGCACTTGCAACTTGCTTCGCCAATATGCAACCATGCATCGCATTCTACGTGTTCAACATTCAACGACCACGCACGTTCATTGAACGACTTTAACATTTTACTAGAAATATTGCATTTGAAAAAGGAAAATGATTAAGCTAGAATTGAAGTCAAACACTTCGTATAATAACTTTATACTGAAACATAACCCCTTCATATATACTTTTTCGATCCCTTTTTATTTGCACCATATGATTTGACTTATAAAGCTCTTAACTTATTGCGTAAATTTCTTAAGAATGAAGATTTTTCCCCCTCAAACATCATTCATTATTAATTTGACCGCAATTCAATCGATTCAATCAACATTAGAATGTTAGACCCATCCAAATATAGCTTAAAAAACGATTAGTCAAATTAAATCAATAGACAATAATAATTGATTAAAGGTACACGAAGTGTATTACACATTACAAAGTATATAATATTACACAAAATCTATCTATTCTTGTACTACCTCCGTTAAATATTATGCGCAACTTTGAAATATTATTTGTGAGATATAAAATATTTCAAAGTTGCACATAATATTTAACGGAGGTAGTATTTATAAATAATAGGGGTTAGTGTTACAAACTAAATAATTGAAGTAACTCAAAAATATTTAATCAAAAAATCAATGACAAATTTGTCAAAAAAAATAATAAAATGACGAAAGGAAAAAATCATTATTGCATCAATCCTAGAATAAAACTACGTTGATGAAAAATACGTCACTACCTCATGGCTGATCAGATGAAGCATCTTCATGAATCATGAATTCAATATGAAATAAATCATGTTGTTGATTACCATTTCTAAATTAGGTGATTGAAGTATAAATAAGTATAATTTTTAATTCAACCAATCATATTATTAAATTCAACCTGTCGTGCAGTGAAAGATAAATGTCAAGTGGTAACATAAAAATATACTTTCTCCGTTCTTTTTTACTTGACCCGCTTTCAGAAATTTTAAACCTTAAAAGTTGAAACAATACATCATAGTAGTCTAGTAGACTAAAACTACCAACAAAAAAGGAAAATTACAATTTTCTTTTCAATTAAATTTCACAAATAAAAGTTAAATCACTTATTAAAATCAGATAATTACAATTACAAGGCAATAATTATCATCCTTAACACAAAATTAAATAATCAAATGTTCAAGTAGAAGCAGCAGAGAGAACAGTAGCATCATCATCAAAATTCCAAAGCTCCAAAGTAGCATTTCCCTCTTGACAACCACCCAACGACGGCTGAACAGTCGCAGATTGACCATCCAAATATGGAATTTCATAAAATTTCATGTAATTTTCATAAGCCATTAACTCTTCAGACAACTTTTTCACTTCATTCTCCTCCTCCTCTCCCACCACCGCAATCTCCGCTTTCGGCACCGGCACAACTTCATCCGAATCAAGCGTTGTCGTATTTGATACCAAATTTGAAGCATTGTAAGCAGATTCTAAACCATACCCAGTTGATCTCTCTATACTTGATTCCAACCCATCTGACGAAAACTGCTGGTTTCCGTTCAAGTAATCGAACGACATGTAATCGATTGTTTGGCTTTCAGAAACACAGTTGTTAAACTGTTGTTGTTGCTGAGTTTGAAAAGAGCGAGGATTGTAGTTGTAATCGTAGTTGTTTAGCGGAACGTTGTTAGTAAGATGTTGTTCATCTTCATTAGGGAAATTAACCTTAGCTTTTTTACCACGGATTTTTCGAGCTTCTTTATCGTAAGCACGAGCAGCTTCTTCAGGAGTGTTGAAAGTACCAAGCCAAACACGAACGCCTTTTCTAGGGTCGCGAATTTCCGCTGCCCATTTACCCCATGGTCGTTGTCGAATTCCCCTGTATTGGGTCTTCCTCTGTTTTTTCGGCCGCTTTTCTTGTTGCACACTGCCACCTGTCCAACAAAATTAATTACACCGATCAATACGTGATTTAAATACATTAATAACACCAATCAACGCTTGTTTTTTTTATGATATTAAA